CTTGTCAGTAGATTGTAAGGATTTTCTATTTTTAAAAATCACAAGATATTTCAATAATGAAAATTTAGGGCCGGTCTGATAGGACAGAGGACTAAAGCACCTGCTTTGGTAGAGCACAGCGGCTGGGGTTCGACCCCTGGCATGCCGTGCCAGACACACTCCTGGGGTGCACTAGGACAATGGTTGAGACTGAGTGTAGTGGTGCCCACCTATAATCCCAGTGCTTGGAAGGTTGAAAATCGCTACAAGTCTGATCTATGCAGTGAGACCCTGTAGACCCTGTAGACCTGCAGACTCAGTCCTAAATACATAAAAACAAAAGGATCAAAAATTTCAAACATCTGTAATGAACTGAAGCATGCAGAGTTGCTGAATTATCAATATTTTTCTGTTAAAGTGCACTACATAGAATTTAATATGAAATAACTCCTGAACAAGGTAAATTTATTGTATATTGAGCAACATACTAAAATAATAAAAAACAATAGTGCTTTATTCTATAGAAAAACTAAGAAGTATACAATTTAAAATCTTGCCTATGGAATAACGTGCTTTAATGAACTATTTACTCTACTCCTCCACAAAATTTAGAAATGATGAAGGAACTTTTAAAAACATGTAAGCAAATTGATTTTGATCCAACATTTAATGTCATTAGTTTGTATTGTAGAAATGCATTCCTTTGTAACTGGATATTACACATTGGCCATTCACTATGGTTTAAAATGCTGGCAGTGAATAATTACAAATAGGTTTTCTTTCTTTATTTTGTCCCTTACACGTCTAATGAACTGCAGTATGCAAAGCTGTCTTGGAAACAAAAGCTGCATGGCAATTATGTCGCACTACTTTAATGAGACTGTTGTATGTTTATCTCAAGGACCAGACATCTAGCAGTGATTTGTAAAGAAACATATTGGAAATATAATTTTAAGTCATTAATCATTAGTGCAAGGACATAGAAATTAGGAAGAATTGTTACCTTAGTTTTATTTTTGTTTCATACTGGAGACTGAATTCAGGACCCTGTGTTTGTCAGGAAGGAGCTCAAGTCATTGAGTTGTCTCCTCAGCCCATTACCTCGATATTTTCAATGAGAAAAATAACATTTAGCTATCTTCTCCAACGTAAGTATTTTTTAGAGTAATACTGATTCACTATATATTTTTAAGGTACCTTCATTGTGTAAAATACTGTTTTTTTTTTTTTTTTTTTTTTTTGCTTTAGTTTTTTAGAAATGAAAAGATAGGGGCTGGGGAGATGGATCAGTGGAATAAGTGCTTCCCTGGCAAGTCAAAGGCCTGAGTTCAATCCCCAGTTCCACCAAAATAAATAAATAAATAAATAAATAAATAAATAAAAAGAAAGAAAGAAAGAAGGAAAGAAAGAGATAGCTAGAGAGAACTTATGACTAAGTAGGCATAAGAGCAGTGGGCTTCCTTTATTATGCATGTTCTGCGGCTCCACTGCAGGATATTACTCCGGATATACAAGCCGGACCAAGACATTGGTGTTTTAATATATTTTCCAAGTAATACGATGTATGTTGTCCAGTGTTGGGAATTTGAGTAGCACAAACCAATACTTAGCACCACAGTGACCCAGAGATCTCGTACATTATCATACCAAGAGACAAACCCTCAGTAACTTTACAGGATGAAGAAAGTTGTTAATAAATGAGTACACTGAAGATAAGTAAATAAAAAATATGAGTCAAACATCAAGATTATCATGAAGGCATTGCTAGATTATCGAGGTTTGAACTTTAGAAAATGTCTAGTAGTTCAACTTTGCTACACTGCAGATAGGCTACTGAGGTGTAGTCTAATTAACTAGGAAAGCAAAGAATGGATTCAAAATGTAGAGGTGTGGAGTTGGAGAGATAGCTTGGCAGTCTAAGGCGCAGCCTGGCAAGCGCAAAGACTGGGCTTGACCCCTGGCACCTCATGCTGGGTATGCTGTGACCTGGGCATGAAAACAGGGCATGGCGGCTCACACCTACAATCCCAGCCCTGGGGAGGCTGAGATATTAAGATCACTATGACTCTGAGCTGCATAGTGAGACGCTGTACCAAATAAATAAATAGCTAAAAATAATGTATTTTTTAAATGTAAAGGTATATAGTGTGTGTGTGTGTGTGTGTGTGTGTGTGTGTGTGTGTGTGTGCGCATGTGTGTTTATGTTTGTGCAGGGGTTGTCTTTTAAATTCCAGGTTAAGACTTGTCTATATACTCTTTGGCCTCAATAGTACTGTATCCTAAGCTGTTCCTTTACTCCTGCTGAGACCTGTGGTATAGATTTCCACATAATGTAGGTCAACTGTCCTCTCTCTCTCCCCACCCGTTAAATCTCTGGAACCTGTGAATATGTTATGATATGTCATCAAAGGGACTCTGCAGAAGTAATCAAGTTTTGGGGTGCAAGACTAATTTTTCTTACTTAGATGTGCCTCCACTATCAAGAACCCATGAATCGCTAGAGACTTCCCCACTTGGAATCAGAGATATGCAGGAAGAAGGCCATAGACAGATACATCTGAAGAGGAAATGACAGAGATTACAACTCCGGAGGCCTCGGTGGATCCTCTGCTGGTTCTGAGATCAGTGGCTCACGGGTCAAAGAGGGAGACCTGTAAGCTCTATGGGTGTCCTGTAGCAGAAGGCCACAGGGAGGCAAGGGTCTCCCTTCTCCACCCCAGATGCACACAGCTTGCCAGGCACCAGAATAAACTTGGACACAGACTTATTCCCAGAGATTTCTGAGAGGAACTCAGCCCAACAACACTGTTATTTCAACTTTGTCATCTTGAGTAGAGAAGCCATCAGGGACAAGTAGGACTTTTCAATTACAGGACTGCAGGATAATGCATTTTGTGTTATTTAAAAGTGTGAAATATTTACATTGCTGTTACTGCAGCAATGGGAATCTAGCACACATAGTAAAAGGTGCATGTCACAAATCAATATCTGATAGTTCTTGGCCATGAGGGTCAATCAATCCCTCAGTACTACTGAATGTCTTGTATATTACATTTGAAGATAGGATATCAAACCATACACTGAAATAATTCTTTCCCTAAGCCACTACATTCTCCATATCATTATATTTTTATAAAAGAATATACTAATGTAAAACATCTTTATGTTTTGGTGAATAGAATACAAGTTCTTAATTAAAGAATGCTTAGTGAGAAGCATAGCTCTACGAAGTTCTTCAGCATCACCAAAACTACTCTCAAACTTTGTGGTTGCCCTAATAAATATATATAAATTAAGTTGAAAAAAATTTTTAAAAAATACTAACTCCATAAGAACATCTTTGAAAAACATTGATCATTACAATCACAATGGAAGGAAGTCTTTGATTGCATCCCTCCCCCTAGACAAAAGTCTGTTCAAAAATACATTATATAGAAAATAATGTTCTAAACTTCTGTGTATGGTAGTATTTACTAATCAAAAATGAAGAAAAATAATGTTTGTACTAAGAAAAGTAGACATTAGATTAAATAGTGTTTAGCTTTTTACTTTCCCCAGATGCACAATATCAAAATTTATATTGTTTCTATTTTATATATGATTGTTTCTACTTTAGAAAGCAACTACCTATGGACTAGAGTCCCAGCTCAGTGTTAGAGTGCTTGCCAAGCAGGTGCAAATCCTGGGCCCCTTGAAAAGGTGAATGAATAGGAAAGAGACCGACCGCTGCTGCTTCTGAACTGATAGCTCTGTGACGGCACTAGACCTGATGGAATGGATTTTGGCAGTACAGTCCTCGAGAGATGCATTCAAACCCAATAAGATGCTAATATGTTTAAGAAAGGGAGTTTTCCCTAAATTAAATGGAAATTGTATTATTAAACAATATAAACAAAATTTAAAAACCTATAATTTGTATCCACAGTTTTCAGGAATATATTACCTTTTGCTATTAGTGGGAAAAAAGGAAACATAGATTATGCACATGTCCTAAAAGGAACATATAAATTATGTCCATTTTAACACCATCAGCAGAACCTGGATGGCCCTCAGATATGAACCATCATCTCAAGCAAAAAGCAAAACAAAAGAGTCAAAGGAATAAACAGAAACGAAGCACTCATAAATAAAGAGTGGAAGAAACTGAAGGGAGAAAGAGCTGGGGCAAACAAAGAATCAAGATCTATCCAAATTCCCTATCATGACTGTGATCACTATCCATATCTAAAACACACCAACAAAAAAATAGTAAAACTTATAAATCCTCACATTAATGACATAATCAAGGATCATAAACAGCTTCCAATCTGTTCAAGTTTTAAGGCCAATAAATTTGTACTAAATTTCAAGAAACAAAAACAAAATTTTGGTCTTGTGAATTTGTTAATTTTCCATTTGGTGGTTAAACAATTGGAAATCTGTGCTACTGAACAGACTTTTGCAGGAACGCAGTATTCCTCTTTATATTTTCTCTTCTTGACTTTATTTTCTTTGGGGGTGTGTACTGGGAATCAAACTCATGACCTTGTGCTTGCCAGGCAGGCACTTGTGGTACGGTGCTATATCCCCAGACTGTGACAAATTTCAAAGACAGATCACCATTTTGTTTTGGTGGGTCTGTTTGTCTGTCTGTCTTTCTTTCTTTCTCTTATGGAGAGTCAAAAGATAAAAATAGAATATGTTGCAAGGATAACAGTACTAATCAAATCTAACCTCTTTTTACTTTCACATTTCATTGCTTTCTGTTATTCCTACAAATTCTTGGTCTCATTTCCAAAGAAATGTTAAGGAAAGGATTTTCCTATATCTAGGTACAGTGACAATGACCCTGTAAAGCCCACCATGTCTAGCACTTTATGATACCTAACTGTTAAATAAAGTGAAACTTATTACAAAATTTAACACAGTGAAATGAATTTTTCTCTCTTCATGTTGATTGTTCCATCCATGACATTTTCAGGGAATTCTGGGTCGCTTACACTAAATAGGGACATGGTTCCAAGTATATCCGTGTCACTTACCTTCATAGTACACTTTAAACCCATGAGCACTAACCGCAAAGTCACTGGTCAAACGTAGTGAGAATACGGACTTGGTGCTGGTCACTGGTGGTGGCAGGTGGAATCCTGTTAGCCTAAAATAAAACAGAATTTATTTTAGTGCCATTGTCACTTTACCTATAGAGTTAAAGAGAATTCAAAGGTATGTTGTCAAATTTGCAAGAGATAGATAGATAGATAGATAGATAGATAGATAGATAGTTGGAGATAGACCAGACACTCCATTTAGAAGTCACTCATCAAAAGCAAGTACTGTGACTACATATGCATTGATTTAAGTAGTGCATACATGTTGTTATTTCTGTTGCCTATTCTATGTATCATTCATCTAACAATAAGTTGAAACTTTGAGAAATAAGAGGTAAGAATATTTTTGAGCATATTTTATGCCCTTGATTTTAAAAACTGAACAGCTTTGTCCAATAAATTATTGATACCTTCATAAAGTACATGCATTTGGTTAACTTTAAGATTGAAGACATGCAACTTAAGTACAAAATCTTGAAACAAAAGCAATCGCAAGTGAGAAGTGATTTTTTTTTTCATTTTATATTCCAACATTATAGTGAGTTCGGTGAGATTGTAGAGAATTATATACTGGTAAATATTCATATATTTTATATAATAAATATTATCAGAAAGATATTTAAATGTGGGGATACTGTAAAGGTTATGTGGCAGGTTGATGACTTCTAAGTGTTTATTTTTATTTTTTTGAAATCATAGTTTAATCATTGTCAAAAAAATGTTATCTATGGTTTTTCTTTGAGCATCAAACCAAGGATTTTTTTTTCTCTGTTTATCTGTCTTCTAGGAGCTGGGGAGATGGCTCAGTAGAATAAGTGCTTCCCTGGCAAGCCCAAGGGTCTGAGTTCAATTCCCAGTTCTAAAAAAAAAATGGTCATGAACTCAAGCAAGCTGGTCTCGAACTTATGGTGATCCTTCTATCTGTGAGTCTGGTTGCCTGTCTGTCTGTCTGTCTGCCTATGTATCTATCCATCATCTATTATCTATCATCTATCTCTGGAAATATTATCAATGCTTTCATGTAAAGACATGGTTCACCCGTCAATCTTTGAGTTAGTTAATAAAGGTATCCCATGAAAAAAGGGGTTGTTCAGATACAACTCAAACTGAACAATGCTGTAGTTGTCTCTGCTTGAGATGATAGTCATATATTTCTTTTTTTATTTTTTAAAGAGAGTACAAAATAGCATTAAAACAGAAAAATTAAAAGTGATACAGAATTTCACTTAACAAAGCAATGTGATTTTCACAGTATTTGTCACAATACTTAGTGCTGCCTTCCAGTTATTCATATTAACAGATATGCACATGTAAAATTGGAAGAAGAAAAAAGAAGTCTATAAGAAATTAAAAAGAGAAAAAAACATAAACAATTGACATTAAGAGACAAGGAAAATTAAGTGTTACTTGCTCCTTTCCATAGACCAATCGAAATGCACAGTACAGTTGGCTAAACCATCCTGCTTACATACTTAAACAAACCTCTTTCCCCCACCCCCTCTCCTGTCCTTCTCCACAATTCAGTAATTCTTTCCTTTTGAACAAATTAATTCCCTTTTTCCAGTATCTACTGTACCCATCTGATTCCATTTTCTCTTTCAGGTTCTCACACTAAGGAGACAATACAATGTTTTCACATGTGGATCTGACATTTCATTTAGGAATATCATCACTAGCTACATCCATTTACCAACAACAGTCTCGAATTTATCCTGTTTCATAGGTGAATAATTCCCCACTGTTTAAAGATAACACATCTTCTTCATCCATTCTTCAGTTGATGGGCATCTGGGTTGTTTCCAGGATTTAGCTATGACAAATTGCATTACTATAAACATGGGTGCGTATGTTGTTATGATATGAGGTTTTCAGTTCTTCTGGAAAAATATGCAGGAGGGGAATAGTTGGCTTGAATGGGATCTCTAATCTTAGCTTTTGAAGAAATCTCCACACTGGTTTCCGTAGTTGTTGTACTAGTCTGCTCTCCCACCAACAATGAAGAAGAGTTCTTTTCATCCATAGCCCCTCCATCATTTGTTATTGGCTGACATCTTGATGTTGGCCATTCTTTCTGGGGTGAGATAGAATCTCAGTGTTGTTTCAAGTTTCATTTCTCAAATGGCCAATGATGTTGCACATTTCTTCATGTATTTACTTGCCATTTGTATTTCTTTCTCTGAGAAGTATGTATTCACCCCAGATGCCCATTTTTGGATTGGGTTTTTGAATTTGGGGGACTTGATTTTTTACAAATTCTTTATATATTCTAGATAGAAGGTCTGCATTTGAGGGACATTTAGCTATATTTTTTCCTCATTTGTGGGTTTTAATTTTACTCTGTCGGAGATTTGCTTTGAAGTGCGGAAACTTTTCAAAAATATAAGATCCAAGCTGTTGAATACTCCCATACTTGATGGGCATAAGAGGATTAAATATATGTTTTCTGTTCCATTATACTAGTTATCAGAGTACCACACATTAAAATTTTAACGAAGTAAATATTTATGGTATCAACAGGGACACTGAAGTACAAATGGATTTCTTCCTTTTCCTGGCACTGTATGTAGAAGTGAAGAACATAATGACAAATGGCTTCTAGCACTAATTGGAGACCATTAAGTTGAGGTAATGTACCAGAAGTGTTATCCAGTGTTATATTTTGTCTTTTAAGAGAAAATATCAATGCAGTTAAAAAAGCAAATAACATGTGAGTGCTACGCAAATGGTTTTGAGCGTGTGGCCCACCTGAGATTATCTCAGGATCTTCAGAGATTCATGGAAAACACTTCCTGGCCTTTGTGCTATCAAACTACAACCTTTGTGCTATCAAACTACAACGTTTTTGCTATCATAATACAGTGTGTAGGGCCAGGGATATAGCTAAGAAGCTTAAGCACCTTGCTGGCAAGCACAAGGTCTCAAGTTCAATGTCCGGTACTGATGAAAAGAAAAGCAAAGCCAAGCCAAGCCAGACAGACAATGCAGTGTGCATATACTTTCATTTACTTATGCATTCCACTGATAATGTACATTTAAGTTCATAATTTTGCCAGTGTGTGACCATCAGTATTCTTGTAGAAGCCCTCTATTTCCTATGTTGTAGTATTTTTAATAGCCTCTACAGAATATTTAAGACTTTTAGCTTTCCTCTTCATAATATGTAACCTATATCCTGCTAGTTATATAATAAAACTGTTTTCTAAGTTTCTTTGTAAGTTTTTGCTTTGGCTCAGGTTAAAGGTCTGTCGCTTCATTTTTAAGCATATGTTGTAGCTATAGTTATATTTGGTAACCAATGCAAATCTCATTTTCTATAGTAAGATAACATTTTTTATTTTAAAGAGAATAAAAAGAACAGATAAAACATTACAAATGACATAGAATTTCAAAAAACAAGACAGGAATTCAACAATGGCTGTTATATTGTACACTGTTGTCCTCAAAGTAGTCGCTGAGCTTACCAGATATGAGCATGCAAAATTAGTCAAAATAAAAACTGTAAGTATTAACTGTTCCCTTCAATAAACTCCTATTAAGAAGTTTTGGCAAGTCAAAATAAAGCACTAACAGAGTGAAAAGAAAACCCATGAATTGGGGAAAAATTCTTAGTCCTCAGACAAAGGACTTCTATGTAGAATATATAAGGAATTTTTAAAAAAAGGTCAGGCCCCCAGAATTCAAATACCCAGTCCAAAACTGGGCATCTGAGGTGAAAGCACACTTCTCACATGATGAAATACAAATGGCAAGTAAATATATGAAAAATTGATGAAGAGCGTTGGTCACTCGAGAAATACAAATTAAAAATCAGACAGCACTCTTGACATGAATTTCATCCTTGAACTTCATGGAGATTTCCTTTGTGGGTCTGATTTAAAAAAAAAAAAAAAACTTACTGTGAGCCTGGTTGCTTACAGAACAAGTGTACTATGGTTCTCTTCTTAGTCCAACTTACCCAGCAGCACCTGTTATTACCTCCCAGTTATGTAGGTCTGGGCCGCGGATAGCTCAGCGTATCCTCTACTTAGAGTCTCACCAGGGAAACATTAAAGTGTCGGCTGCATGGCTGGCTGGAGGCTCGGAGCCGCATCAGCTTGAACTTCAGAGGCTTGAGCGTTGCTAGAATTCAGTTCCATGCAGCTGTGAGATGAAGGTCACCTTGCTACAATTTGAAATGGGATTGCTCTCCACTCCGGCACCTGCCTCACTCATTGGCTCCTCACACATCCAGTTTTTAGCCATCTTTCTGCTTTGCTACTTCTCTGCTGTTATGAGATCATTTAAATAGCCTGTGTCCCAATGGATGACATGAATATGCTTCTTTTTAAACGTTTATAACCTTGTCTCTACACACAGTTCTTAGGGCAAGGGACAGAATGGAGTCACATGTTCTATGGGAAACTCTACTCAGCTGATTATAATAGTTATTCATTTTAATGTGCATTTATAAATTTTGTGAAAGAGGCTAACCATATTTTAAAAATCTGATCCACTACTTACTGAAAGGTACCTGTCAAAATATTTCAATAAGACCATGTATTTTTAATTTTTTATTATATCTTTTGTCCCAAATATATAAAAATATATTTGGTGCTACATTATTGGGTACATACAAGTTTAAATTATTCCATTTCCTGATGATTTAAGAATTTATGTTTATGCAGTGTCATGAAATTTCTAGTAATGATTTAATCTTATACTTTATTTTTCGTAACGGGGATATATCTGCCACTTTTGTTTATTAGAATTAGGATGAAAGGGCTGGCCAGATAGCTCAGCTGATTAAAGTGCCTGCTTAGGCAGACACAGGGACTGGAGTTTAATCCCCAGTGTGCTGTTCCAGTCCTGCTGCTGGGGTGCCTGGAGAGGCTAGTGAAACTAGGCGTGGTGGTGCACACCTGTAATCTCAGTGTTTGGGGAGCTAAAAACAGGAGAATCACTACAAGTCCAGTCTGTGTAGTGAGACCCTGTAGACCCGGAACTAAATACATAAAAAGTTCATAGAATTAGGATGGAGTACCTTTGTATTTTCAACATTGTGATATCC